CAAGCTGGACACAATCGACTTTGATGGCCTCCAATGCCTATTCTACGTCGCTGGATTCCAAGGACCCGACTTCGCCGAATACCGTACCCGCCTCTTGAGGAAGCTGGACCAATCCGAAAAGGTGACGTTGAAGGACCTCACAGCGGAATGTCAGCTGATCAAATCATACAAGGACGACTCCGGAATGCTATCTAGCAGTGAACTTTATTCGCCGAAAAACAAGATTTCGAAGCAAGAAGAAGTTCAAGCAGCAACAGAAGGATGAGCCGAACCTATCTCGGTATCGATCTGGAAGCAAGGAAATGATGCCGCCACGTGGATCGAGTACCCGTAATCGACGCAGACGTCAAATCAACAACGTCATAGCCGCTCTCAAGAAGGACGACCACCCACATTTGGACGTTATCATCAACGGTCATCCAACCCAACTTCTACTTGACACCGGCGCTGAAGTAACAATAATCTCTAAAGCCAAATGGAAGCTACTTGGAGCGCCTCGACTTCAGGATACGGACGTGGCTGGATATGCAGCCAATGGATCTCCTCTCAAGTTTTGTGGATGCTTCGAAACTGAGTTCACGGTCAGCAATTCAACTGACGGACTCTTCCGAGGGCGTGGAATCTGCTTCGTGACTGAAGATGACTGCAACGTCTTTGGAATGCCATGGATCAAACAGCTACCGGACCTGTACAAAGCGGTAAAGAAATACCAAATCCATCGAACGATCGTGGTGGACCACATGCCTGCCCACCGAGATGCCATCATCGCCAAGTTGAAGAAGAAATTTGCAACTGTCTTCACGTCAGGTCTTAGACGCTGCACGACTACCAAGGCAACGTTGATGCTGAGAGCTGACGCTGTGCCAATATTCAAAAGAAAACCGTCTGTTCTCCACGCGTATATTGCTGCACCTATTCCAAGAAACGTCTGTCTGTCGAGTGGGCTGCACTATGGTCCTGGTGAGATGCTATACGAAGTTACACCAGCACCCACTGCCAACGCCCGACGACGTCTTCACCAAACTGAATGGTGGAACGGTATTCACCCAAATTGATCTCGCTGATGCCTACCTACAGGTCGAAGTCGACGATGCTTCAAAGGAACTTTTGACGATCAACACGCACAGAGGACTATTCAGCTTCAATCGGCTACCGTTTCGGAGTGAAATCTGCTCCGGCATCTTTCAACAGATCATGGACTCCATGATTGCTGGACTGGACGGATGTGCCGCCTACTTGGACGACGTCATCGTGACTGGCCGCACTACAGAGGAGCACATCGCCAACTTGGAAGCCCTGTTTCAGGGAATTCACGAGTTCGGCTTCCGCGTCCGCATTGAAAAATGCAGCTTCTTGATGCCCCAGATCCGCTATTTGGGCAATATCATCGATGCAAATGGACGTCATCCGGACCCTGCCAAAACAGAGGTCATTAAGAAGATGCCGCCACCAAAGGACATCGGACAACTGCGATCGTTTCTGGGATTGCTCAACTATTACGGAGCTTTCGTTGAGGAAATGCGCAAACTTCGAGCACCGCACCAACTTCTAAAGAAGGACGTATTCAGATGGCCAACCGACTGTCAACAAGCTTTTGATCGCGCCAAGGAAGTTTTGTCGTCGGACTTGCTGCTTACACATTACGACCCCTCCAAAGAGATAGTCGTCGCGGCCGATGCTTCCGAATATGGGATAGGAGCAGTCATATCTCATCGCTTCTCGGATGGAACGGAAGAAGCCGATCTACCACGCATGCCGCACCTTAACAGCAGCCGAGAAGAATTACGGACAAGTGGAGAAAGAAGGACTCGCCCTGGTCTTCGCAGTGCGAAAATTCCACCGCTACCTCCACGGACGCCATTTCAAACTACTGACGGACCACAAACCGCTTCTTGCCATCTACGGCAGCAAGAAGGGTATTCCAGTCTACACGGCAAATCGACTCCAGCGATGGTCTCTGATTATGATGAACTACAATTTTACCATCGAGTATCGACCACAAAGAATTTTGGCCAGGCCGATGCACTCTCCCGTCTGATTGCCGATCAGCCGACTTCATTGGAGGATGCTGTCATCGCCGAAATCAACGTTGATGCCATGAAGGCCTTTCTGTTAACACAACAGAAAGGAAAATACTGGAAGCTCTTGAGATAAAACGGCTAGCACCCGAAATAAACAGCAAAGAAGAGCTACGTGACATTCTCCAAATTGTCACATGATATCATGCATTTCAACTACTGCATGAGATTGCTAATATTTAAGGGTGCGAGCGGGGTAGGTTATACTAATTTGTCGTCGGGTAAGTTTGTATTTGACAGAGGCGAACGCGTGTGAGTTGGTCTTATATATTTCGTATATTGTCCGACTCTAGAAAGAAAGCTATTTCAGGCCTGACGAAGGTGCTAAGCACCGAAATATTGCAAGTTATTTTGAAAGCTTTTGATATTCAGACTTTTGAAGCTTTTTGAAATAAATTTTTGGAGCCTCAAACTGTTGTTCGACATTCAGAATTTGGGTACAATTTAATGGTGGACAGGCGAAAATGGACCTGCATGTGCTTGAAGGAGCTACTCGCACCTTATGCGGAAGAGACATGATCAGAGCCTTGAAGATCGATTGTGGCCCACATTACCAGAGTGTACATGAAATGCAGGATAGACCGGTGGTGAAGCAGAGGCTCGCAAAGATCCGTGAGGAGTTGGAAAACATGCGCGTGTTATGCGCGCAGTTGACGGCTCAGGTACAAGAACTAGGAAATGCCAGTTCCCGAAGAGTCGAGAGAGATGTCGAACAGTGATAAGATTTTTCGATTTATGCTCTTCCGTTAAAAGTGAAATAAAGATGTTCTGAAAATTCTGTGTAGATCAAGGAATTGGGGGCGCCGACTAGGGTAGAATCCTTCCAGTCGGCGGGCTCATGTAAGTAAAAGTGCAAGTGACTAAAGTCACTTGGGGGGAGATGTAGGGGAATAAAGGTAGTTTAGGTATAATGAGGAAGACCGGAAGGGAGGAATAGAAGAATGATAATGGAAGAAGATCACTGGAGAAGATGGAAGGAAAACAAGGATGGTATAAAAAGGGGTGATCAGAGTAGAATAAAGGATTCCCCTCTTCGGTGTTACACACAGTGCGACTGTGTGGGCTCGCGACTAGCGTGCTGGATATCCAA